CCCATGGGAGCACCAATCAGCCCAATTCTAGCTGGTTTAGTAATGGACTTTGTCGTTCGTCAAGCTATACAAGGCGTTGATTTTGATATACCTTTCTTCTTCCTGTATGTTGATGATTCGCTGTGTTCGGTCCCCAGTAATAAGGTCAACAACTTGCTATCTCACTTGAATGCTGTCGATGAGAACCTCCAGTTTACAGTTGAGATAGAGAACGACAAAAAATTGCCATTTCTAGACCTACATATAATAAATCAAAGACAAAATATTTTATTGGATTTATACAAAAAACCTAGCAGCTCCAACAGAATTCTAAATTACCGTTCAAACCATCCAACACAACAAAAATTCAATATTATAAAACAATTTAGAGACAAAATTTACGGACTTTCAAATGAAATGTTTTGGGAGCAAAATCTCATAAAACTTCGTAAAATTTTACTTTCTAATGACTACCCAAAAGCTCTAATCAATAGGATTTTAAACCAACGACTCTCTAATAGCGCCAATGCAAATGCAGTCAACTTAGTCAATAATAAAAAATTCTTCAAAATGCCTTACGTGCTGGGTTTGACAGAACCCCTCAAGAGGAAACTTAAGACGCCAAACTCAGAAATCGCACAGTACAACACAAAATGCGTGAGACACCTTTTTTCTCGAGTAAAAGATGAAACAAAAAGCGATTTTAAAAGCAACGTTATCTACAAGATCCCCTGTGGTGCTTGCGACCACTGTTACATAGGTCAAACCAAACAGTTTTTAAAAAACAGAATAGGCGAACACCGCAGAGATTGTAACATAACCAATTCGGATAACCCAAAGACGGGACTGGCTCAGCATCATTTTGAAGAAGGACATTTATTTAAATTTCAAGAAGTACAAATATTGGACTGCGAGGTGAATTTTAAAAAGAGACTTTTTCTTGAAATGTGTCATATCCATAACAACAGGCCGAATGTAAATTTAAATAGAGACACACAGAATCTCAATATTATTTATAATAATATAATAAGTAATTGTTCAAAAAACACATAATAAACATAGGTATACCTACACTACCAAAAAAATTCATACCACACCTAGAAAATTAACATCAAATCAGTACCTTAGATTTTTGCGGCAATGATGGTAGTCCATAATAATACAAACATTTTTAACGTATGCAGTTATACAATGTGTTTGATTTTCAATTAGAATAATCTGGGTGAGTCTTTTTGAGCTTTAATTAAGGATATTATTTTAAGTGTTAACGTTTTTAGGATAATGATTGTGTCTTTGTGATATCTTTTAGTGATTTTAATTAATTTTTGTATGATGATGTGATCATTTTTAGCTTGTTTTAATGTGTTGTATGTCATAAAATCGCCTTTTGGTAAACTTGTATTGTTTCGTTTTTTGCAGCCCTGATGATGATGCTAACCAGCATCGAAACGTTGGCTATTTGATTTTTAAATTTAATAAATAAGTCCAAGAAAGCTGAATATTATTTCCATTCCTCATAAAAAAAGCGACCTAATTTGGAAAAATGTCCCTTTTTATATTTTGACGGTCGTTCGAAAAACTTCTGATGGGAAAATTTTGAAACTCTTAGAGTAGAAAGAGGAAGTAAGAAGCACATTATACTGAAATTTCGAATTAATTTGATGAAAAATGGCAACATGAGAAAATCTTGATCAACTTAAAAAGAAAAATGCACCCTTTCATATTTTGATGTTTCTTCGAAAAACTTCTCATGGGAAAATTAGGAAACTTCTAGAGTAGAAAGAGGAAGAAAAGAAGCTCATCATACGGAAGTTTCAAATTAATTTGATGAAAAATGATAATATGAGAAAATCTTGAATATCAACCTAAAAAAAAACAAATTATGAAAAATGCACTCTTTCACATTTTGATAATTTTTCGAAAAACTGTTCACATGAAAATTTTGAAACTTTTGGAGTGAAAACTGGAAGAGGAGGAGCTCATCAAACTGAAATTTCAAATTAATTCGATGAGAAATGGCAATATGAGAAAATTCTAAAAATCAACTTAAAAAAAAAAACAAATTATGAAAAATGTATCTTTTAACATTTCGATAATTTTCAAAAAACTGTTGATATGATAATTTTGAAACTTTTTGAATAAAAAGAGGAAGGGAAATATTCTTATGGGGGATCCAACTTCAAAAATTACATTCAAATTAGTCATGTTCTTGAAAACTATCTAAAAAAATAGTGTCGTTTGGTAAAAGTTTATTTTCGTGCAACCGTCCGCGAAATTCAATTTCGCAGCCGCCACACTTTACGTGCAAAATGTTTCAAATCCTTGTCAAATTCATACAGTTTTTCTGTAATTTTACATAATTTTTATATCTGCACAAAAAATAGTGTGTATACTATGACCGCGAAACTTTTTAGCGTCCTCGAGATTATCATGCCTTGGCTGCAGTGTTGCCAATGACTCGATAATTATTGAATTCTACCATAATTTTGACTATGATTCAATAATCGATAATGACAAGCTAATCTACCATAATTTATTGAAACTACAATTTTAATATAGATTTTCAAATTTCTAGTTAAAAATTAATCGCTGTATGCGACATCCTCTTTAAACTTAAAAGCGCTTTTTGAAACTGGTACCTTTAAAAATTTATATGGCTTAGAATACAGAATCTTAAAAGTGACCAGTTTTCAAAAGCGCTTTTCTTTTAAGTTAAAAGAGGATGTTGAATACAGCTGTAAAAATTTATTGAAAAATTGAAAGTTGTTGTTAAATTTGAGTGTTTTTACGTACTGGTGCAAGTACCAAACACTAATCCCAGATTGAGCCAAATTTTCATGCCAATAACGTTACTGGTTTTTCCAAAATATGGCCCATTGAAATATTTGAAAATCAAATTCCCCTTTGGAAAAATTCGAATTTTAAAATTTTTAGATTTTGCAATGTTTGACTTCACGAATCAAAATTAGTGAAAAAGCATTTTTGCAACTTTGTTTTTAGAATTTTAAAGCCTTGTAAAAAAATAAAACAAATTTTTGGGCTCAAAAAAGTTCAATAATCTGACATTCTTTTTAAAAGTTGCTGATTACTCGGTTATTATTGTAACAAATAAATGTAAAATTATATATTCTGAATCAGAATTAAATTATCTTCAAGATAAAATTAGATTTAATTCTATATCTCAAATACTTCTGAAGATATTGAGGCTCAAAGTTGAAACTTTATCTCAAATTTTGCAAAAGCTTTCAGGCGGATTATCTTGAGAACGAAGCCCTTGTAGGCCAGGGCAGTTAGCAAAAATAGGAGAAGTTTTTGCAATCAAGCTGATTTTTTTATAGATGGTAGTACCCATCAATAGTACTCTGTAAAAAAAAGTTACACCTCCTAGGACGCTTGCTTTTTCCGCCATGATGATTTAAAGATGGCGGCTAGTGCTATTTTTGAAAAAAATCGTAACTTTTTTATTTATCAACCGATTTCCGTCAAGTAAAAAAAAAATATTTTTGTTTTTGACTAAAGAATAAAAAAAAATATATACAAAACCATTTTGACAGGTTGTATTTCTGTCAAAAAAAAAAAATTGAAATAAGAAGAGAAATCGAATTGGTTTTTTTCAATTTTTTCTGAACGGTAGGTACTTCTTAGCAAAAAAAGAAAAATTTGCGCTTTTTTTGTGATTTTAGAACAGTTTTTGAGTTTGATTGATTAGTTCGGGAGATATCTATAGTCGAAGAGAACTTAAGAATACAAAAAAAAAGCTTATGCAGGATTTAAAAACTATATTTTCCTACGACCACATACGAAAATGACAAAAACCGCACTAGCTGGTTCTTTGGAAAGCGCGAAATATCACACGCGTGCTGAAAGTACTTTCAGCACACGTGTGGAAAATACTGTTGACATTATTTGTGATTGACATCGCAATTTACTTTCAATACGTGGATTGAAAGTACTTTCAGCACGTGTGTTGAAAATGAAAAGAAATAAAATAAGAGGAGATTGGTGTAAATCAGTTTGTGGTCGTAGGAAAAATGGTGTACATCACTTGTGAGAAAGCGTCTTTCATACACTCGTGTGATTTTCGCACTCGGCTACTGCCTCGTGCGAAAAAACACTCGTGTGAAATTTGTCACTTTCTACACTCGTAATGTAATATACTATTTTTGCTCGACTGACATAAAAACAGTTGCCTTTGGTTTTAGCTAAAAAAAATATTTTTTTTCTACTACCGTGCGTAAAGTACTTACTTTACACGGTGCAAAAAATTGTTTTGTCCTAATAATCATAATAAACATTCATATTCCTGCAGAAAAGTATAAACTTAACTTTCAATAGCTTTTAACTAAAAGAACACAAATATAACTTTTTTACATTTTTATCTAAACGTCATCATCTATTTCCACTTCTTCAGAATCGACTCTAGGTGCATTGAGACAGGTAAGATTGCATTTTTTACACAAAATGCTGCATTTCCGGTTGTAAGAAACACTGTGCAAAGATCTTTGCATTTGCAAAAAAAAGTTGCCATTAGGTGTTCGGGCCCGGAAGGTTTTGTATAAGTCACCGGAAAAAGCTCATTGCCATTGGCAAACCATCCCCACTCAAGTGGATCTAACTCATTTACTCTAAATATGTGCTGATCACTGGAATCTTCTGTGGGAGGAAGATTTGTCAAATCAAAATTAGATCCCAAACCTTGTGTGGAGGTGATTTGTTTATAGCAATAAAGTCTAGAGTCGTTCAGTTTTTCACAGTTTTGGACAGGAAAAAATTTCAATATGAGTTTTTGCCCAGCTTCACTCAAAGCAGCTTTACTCATATTCGGTGCATTAAAACTATTGATTAAATGAAACATTTCTGGATTTTTTTTTAACACTTCAAATATTCTTTTTTTACCCATTTTATATGGGTATGAAGTAGTATCGCATCCTGTAAATGCATGAATGTATAGAAGATTTTCGCGGATCTGTTCTGAGATCAAGTTTTGTATTTTGAAAATATTTAAAAATTTATCAAGAGCTTTACTCGTGCTGAGTGCCCAAACATATAGCTGGCTGGTAGATTTCTTTGCTAAGGAAAGTAACATTACGATTACATACTGATGTAATCGTAATGTTGACAAAGACGACTACATCTTGAGCTTTACATTCTGATATTGCGGTTGAGGCAACAATACTGTCACAATCAGATTTTGTATGTGTGACTTTTATACCCTTTTCTTTCAATTTGTCGGCTAGGTGAGATATAAACCTTTCTTTGTTGGAAGTATTTGATAGGAAGTCTGCTTGAGAAAAGATCAACAATGTGTTCTCCTGGAATTCAACCCTAGGCGTAATTTTTGATTGACGTCTACGATGCTCCTCGTCTTTGGTGGACATTTCGCTATAACCATCAAAGATTACCCAAGAATTGAAACCAAAATTTTCAATAACGTGTTTGCAATATATTTTAAATATATCGCCAAATGTTACTAGTTTGGGCCATATGATTTTATGTAGTAAGCAACCACCATCAATGACTGAAAGTGGATTATTCAGTGTTTCGGGTTTTTCATAATCGAAATTGTCTTTACAAAGATGAGAAACCAAAACCGACTTATTCCCTTTGCGGAGCTTCCCTTGGCTAAAGAAATACGGAGGATACGTACTCAGTTCATGTTCGAAAAAAGTTTTTAAATCATTTTCATTTCTCATAGTAAGCAATACTCTATTGAAGAACTGTTGAGGATTTACATCAACTGGATTCACTTTATTTCCCACAACTTTAACATCACCCAAAGTTTTTACTTTAAATGTTTTCTTCACATGAAATTCTGAAAACGGCTTGCCAATCACTTGTTGAAGAGACATTTTGGCTATAAGTTGAACGTTATCACAGTTGATCAATTTTTTTTCATCTTTCACAGAAACGCCTGATGAAATTGATATCAGTTCCTCTGAAACATGGAAAAATGGGGAATGATCATCAAACCAGTCCAATAATATATTAAAATCATTCAAGTTTCGCGTTTTTCTTGAATCCCGAAGATCTCGATGAATTTCTGAAAAATGTTCTAATTCAGGAAAAACCTCCAATGACTCAATAACCTTCTCACATATCGGAAATGATCGAACGAACTGAGCTAAAGTACTTGACGTCAGACCACGACCATAGGTTAGCCCACCTGTACCTGTTTTTAATGATCTCATCAAAGTTTGCTCAATGGTCATATCTGACCAAATGCCAGAAAAAAATTTCTCCGATCTTCTTATAGTGAACTTACCAGAAGCATATCTCTCATAAATTTTCTCTGGCAAACGGTCTTGTAGATTTAAAGTCGACTGAAGATACAGATGGGCTGATTTAGCGTAGTTTTGATGTCCAGCGCAATGGAAATACGGAAGCATTTCAATGATACATTGAAGGTGCAACCTAAAATCACCATTGCGCTCGGCCGAAATAAAATGTAACATCAAAGTGACCTGATGAATATATTGACACCAAAGTTTTGAGGTGCGACTCGTTTGTGATATTTTTGAGATATTTTCATTTAACCTTTGAGTCATAGTTCTCAAATTATTAGATGTTTCAACCAGGTCTAAATCTTCGTAGAGAGGTCTCAAGAGACTTCGAAAATTAGGCGTATAGATACTGTCACCTTCCTTAGCAAGAAAATGATTTATTAGTGTCCAAAGGAATAGGGTATGAGCTCGAACTGCCCGATTAAACGCATGACCACTTAAAACTTGCGGAACTTAAGCTTTAGCGTAAATTAATTCCAGCAAATCCTCTAATCCTGATCCCTTCATGCAATGCCCAATTGTACCTAAAAAGGACATCAGTAGATGAAAGCCTCCTAGACGCAAAATTATACTTGAAGACTTCAGATCTTCATGGCAAGTAATGATTTCAAATGCTTTTTGAAAAAGTGGTTGGTCAAAAGTGACAATACAGTATTCCAAACCCTGCTTGCGGCTCTCTTCCAAGGCAAAGTGTAAGGTAGTATAGATAGTGGAAACATCTGAAGGATTTAAATTTATAAATGGAAGCGTTTTTATATAACTAGTATGAAACTCGGTCACCTGGCAGGTCAAGTTCATAACACCACTCCAGTTTGGAATATTTTTTATATTTAGCCATGGGCCACATAACCACAAAACGTCGAAAGGTTGAAAAATCGACGCAACAGTGTCACTAAATTTAACTTGAGTTAAGTCTTCTACAACGATGGTCTTTAAAGGCTCTTTGGGTTTGCCACAATATCTTATTGTGACATCACCAAATGATCCCAACTCTTTAGCACCAACAGATTTTGTTTTTACAGGAAGCTTCATGTCAATAGTAACAGCCGATTTTGGAGTTATGCATTGAATACCTCCCATAGCATGAAAGGTATTGCAACCGTCTATATTGTTAATATTGAAGTCTGCATTGTCAAAAATAAATTGGCTGAAGCTTTCGTCTTCAATATCCACTGTATAGCCAAGACATGCAGCTTCTTCAAAAAGGTGCGACAAGCACCCAAAGTCGATAGCATATCAATCAAAGCTTTTGATCCAACCTTGCGATGTATATATATTGATATACTAAGCTGGATAGCGGAAATAAATGACCGAGGTCTTATTTTACTTATAATTATATGTCCTATGAAAAGGCATATTTTGAAATCAATATCATCATTATTCTTTCTACCTTTTAAAAGCAGTTCTGAAAAAAAAAATAACAGCCCTTTAGGTGTTTGTTCTGATGCAATTTGGTGTAAATTTTCGAAATCCGGATAAAAGCTGCAGTCGTAGATTTTTTCTTTGACTTCTTCCCTTAAAATAGATGCTGCCATTGATAAAATCCGTTGTTTTTCTTTTTGTGGATCATCTGAAGTTGACTCGTAGAAAGCTTTGTTGAGTAAAGAATTCAGATCTATCCTTAGAGAGATAATAGCAGGTAATTTCTTTCTTGGAGTGATGATTATGTTAGATCTGAAATGTTCTTTTAATTTGGTCTGAATCCACTTCTCTGTGTAGTCACTGTCGGGATCTAGCTCACCTGAAGTATAATGAGTCCTACAGTACAGTACCTACAGGTTGAAAATAAAAAACACCTACCTAATTTGTCCGATATTTCCGTCATTGTAAACTGGCATTCTTCACAGGACTCCATATAAGAAAATAATAAACCAAAAGCATCCTTCTTCTCACATTTATTTTCATCTCTTTGTTGAGCTAAAGCACCTAAAAAAAAAATTGGTGATGTAGGTACCTACAGCCGCTCACCCCGCTCATTTGCCCAACCTGTACATATTAGAATCTATTTTGAATTTTACACGAAATTTTAAAAGGATAAACGTTAAAGGTATAAGCAATGTAAGATGGCTTTTTTGCCTTACAGTCTAACTTCATTCATTAAAAAAAAAATGCTTACCATTACAAAGCTTCTGATAGCACGATCTATGGTACCTTCCTTCTGCTGCCACTAAGTCTGCAATGCACGACATACGTGCCACTATATCAGTATAATCTTTGCTTTCTTGATTAGTACAAAATGAGAGTATTTTTTCTCTAAATTCTATTGTTTCTACAAGTTGCACTTTTTTTCTGTATTTCAAGGGAAGCTTTTTATTAATTTCTACTGTCAGACCGCAAATGAAACAGTTGCTTTTAAAATCAAAAGTATTGTGAAGGCTTCTAGTACGGCCATCATTGTTTTTATTTTTTTCTACATCTCTCAATATATTTCTTTCCAAAATATAAGGCAGATAACATTTTTTTCTGTGTAGCTTCATATACTCGCAATTTCTCAATAAATTGTAAATGCCGTCTTTTCTTCTTAAACTCGCCATTCGCACAGTATTTATGCCAACTTTTTTGACCACCTGTATGTCCTCGATAAGAGCACACTGGCACAAAATGCAAGAATTATTATCAGTATCCATTATTATTATTATTATATACCGAAAAAATGCTGGAAACACCTTAAAATTAATGAAAGGTTAAGCGCGAAATTGGCTGTGGTCTGTCCGGCAGGTGAATCACCGATTTTATTTGCTATTTTCCTAACGAGTCCGGCTAGAGGGTGCGAAGCGCCCGAGTGCCGGAAAAGTCTTCCCACAAGCGTTAGGAACTACATTTTTTCTACGAGCGTACTAAAGGTAATGTTACGAAAAATCTAATTCAAATAAAATGCGACTGTGCTGAAGGTGAGACTATAAATGTATTAAGCATTATTTATTAAAAACAGGTAAAGCAACAATACAAGCAATTCGATTTCACAAAGATTATTTCAAACTCTTCCCATACCAGTGCGAGAAAAAAACTCTTCCCGCACTAGTGCGGGAAGAAAGTTTTCCCGCAAGATATCGAGTGTCATAATAGACAAAGTTTGTTTGACGTAAATCGGTTAGATTGAAGAAAACCAATTCGTTTTCTTTTCTTATTTAATTTTTTTTTGACAGAAATACAACCTGTCAAAATAGTTTTATATATTTTTTTTTTCATTCTTTAGTCAAAAACAAAAATATTTTTTTTTATTTGACGGAAATCGGTTGATAAATACAAAAGTTACGATTTTTTTCAAAAATAGCACCAGCCGCCATCTTTAAATCATCATGGCGGAAAAAGCAAGCGTCCTAGGAGGTGTAACTTTTTTTTACAGAGTACTATTGATGGGTACTATCATCTGTGAAAAAATCAGCTTGATTGCAAAAACTTCTCCTAAAGGCCATTTTTTCAGCTAACTGCCCTGGCCCATTGGGCTGGGAGTCTTGAATAACCTTTTTTGTAGCCCTTATTAAGAGCTACAATTGGGCAAAAGATTCATGCCAATTTCTTCACTGGTTTCCAAAATATGGCCTTTTGAAATATTTGGAAATCAAATCTCCATGCATAGCCCTTTGGAAAAGTTTGAATTTTTAAATTTTCAGTTCTTCGAATTTTTGACTTCACCAATCGCAAGAAGAAGTTAAAATTAGTAGAAAAGCATTTTCGCAATTTTCCTTTTTGGGTTTTAAAGCCTTGTTAAAAAATAAAAATGATTTTTGCAATTTTTGGGCTCACAAAATTTCAATAATCTGACATTCTTTCACAAAATTGCTGTTGGAAACATGTTCCAACAATCATGCTATCTCTTTTTGATGGCAAAATATTTTTATACATATAAAGTTTGCAACACTGCAGCGTTGTCGTCATGTCTGTCAATATATTGCGCGCCATTTTTGTCATTGCAGCAGTGTAGCTTGGAGCTTGTCCACGTTAACAAGCATCCAGAAACCTTTTCACATTTTAATAAATTTTATAATCAAGCTCTGCCCTGTTGGGCATCTAAGCAAGCTCTGGCTTCTTGTCATCTTGTAGTAGTAATTGTAAATAGTGTAAATATTGTGTAAATTGTTGTAAATATAGTGTCAGTGAAAAGCGCGTGTGTTTTAGTTCCCTATCCAGTCGATCATCCAGTCCACCTAATTATACAGTCCACTAATTATCAAGTTATTTATCTTCCATTATGTGGTTTTGCACATAATTTTGGCCAGTTCGAGCCGGATAATGGATAGTTCGGAACCTAAAAGTGCTTTAAAAACCCTCAAAAAGTGCCTTTTTAGTGGTTATTGATTGTTCCATCGTGATTTTTGGCGCCATGTGATGCAAAAAATCAATCATCCACTGTGCAGTCTGCACGTGTCTCAAACAACGTTGGGTTCCACGTGCCACCAGCGAAGGTTTCCGCCGGAACCGGAAGTGCGTAAGTAGAGTGGGGCGGAGCAAACAAACTTCACTTGTCAAATTCAAAAGGGTGCTTCTTTTTCTCGTCTGGTTCAACCCAAGTCACCCCGGGTGCAGTATCCTTGCTTGGTGCAATGAAGTACAGCCCCGGAGCAACGAACATGAAAGTGAGAGTTCACCACCCCGACAGCTTAACCTCAAATTAAATGTCAAACATTTGTTTACGTTTTGTTGTTTGTTGTTTGTGTATTTTGGATTTTTCCAGTGAATTTGAGTGAATTTGCATTATTTTTGAAAAACTGAATTTTTCGCATTAATTATTGCTATTTTTTCATTATTTATTTAAAGGATGAACAATTATCCGTTTTTCGTTTTGTTAAGTAGTTTTAAAAAAAAAAAAATCTAATTTATTAGGTAATTTTAAATTTTGTTTATAGATTTCTTTTGATATTTTCTTATTTTTTTGATTGTAAACTTTGTAAATATGGCTACCAAAAAGCAAATTGATAAATTATTGTCAAAGAAAAAGCAAGCAATCGACTCCATGGTTAGAATAAGTCGTTATATTTCCGATCACAAATCTGATCCTGACAGTGAGTATAAAACCGACCAATTTTTAGTTCGGAAGGAAATATTGCAGGACAGTTTTCAAAAGCTTAAAGACATTCAAGTTGAAATTCTGTGCCTTGATGGTAACTATGATGATTCAATTGATGATGTAGAAACTCTTTTTTTCTATTTTGGTTTCATATCGAAGTCTTTTCGACACTGAAAGTAGTTTCGAAAAGAAGCTCTTTGTGACACTCCTTTTTTACTTATCGGAAGTTGGTAACACTGGCTGACTGATGGCCATCGAACTGTCATTTGCGATTTTATTATTGGTAAAAATAAAAATAAAAAAGAAGATTTCTATATCTGGCGTGTAGTGTTACCAACCTAAACATGAAATCAGGAAATATGAGAATAAAATTTCCAAGGAAAATTTGTTTTTTTTTTTAATTAAACAATACCAAAAGAGAAAAAATAGTATAAAATATTCGTTTCATAAGACATTTTATCGCACTCGCCCTTTAGAAAACTCGCCTCCGGCTCGTTTTCTAATATAGGGCTCGTGCGATAAAATCACGTCTTATGAAACTTGTATTTTAATGTACTATTTATGATGTCATTGTAAGTATTAAAAATTGTTTACCTAAATCTAATTTACCAGGACCAGCTAATACTAGTAATTTAGCAACTAATATTGCTCAATCGGTTTCAATTCCACCTACTCAAAGTAATAATTTTATTTCTGCTGCTAAATTGCCCCCAATCGAGATACCTACCTTTGATGGAAAAAATTTAACCAATTTCAAATCTTTTATCGATATATTTAATGCTGTCATCGATAAAAATCAACAGTTAAAAGATGTTGAAAAGCTCTTTTATTTGAGAAATTATTTGAAGGGTGAGGCTTTAAGCTTAATTGATAATCTGCCACTAATAAATTCTTCATATCAAGGTGCCATAGATATTTTAAATAACAGATTTAATAATGAAACTATGATCATAAATTCACATATTTTTTCTATTTTGGATATTCCTGCCATACAAAAAGGTACAGCTCATGCACTTAGAGATTTTGTAAGTCGCATCAAGCAGCAAATTGGAGCTCTCAAAAACCTAGCCCAGCCTGTTGACAACTGGGACATGGTGATGATTTGTATTTTAAGTAGAAAAGTTGACCAATTTACCAACAGAGCCTATCAAATAGATCGTGATAGTTCCAAATTGCCGACTTTGGATGAATTCTTGGCCTATTTAGAAAATAGAGCTACAGCCTTAGAGGCAACTAGTAGTACCCCAGAGCATAAAACTAAAGAAAAGGTTTACGGTTTATTAACAAAACAAACCAATGTAAAATGTCCCTTTTGTTCAATATCTGGACATAAACTGTATAATTGTAAAAAGTTCAAATCCGTACTAGTAAAGGATCGTATATCTTTTGTCGACAGACAGAATTTTTGTAAATTATGTTTGAATATTCATTCTGGAAAGTGTAAAATGTTGTTTCGGTGTGGTATGTGTCAAAAGGAACACAATACCCTGCTGCATTTGGACAAGCAATGTGAAAATAATAATTTTCCTACTGAACGCAGAGTCATGTATTCCAATGCCTCACAGCAAGAATCTGTACTTTTACCTACCTTAAAAGTAAAAATTAAATCTAATAAAGGCAAATATATTTACGCCCGAGGTCTGGTTGACACCGGCTCTCAGATTTGTTTAGTAACAAACAGTTTAGTTGAAAAGCTAGGATTAAAAGCCTTTAATAGTTCTTTGAATATCACTGGCATATCGGAGACTAAAACTAAAATTAATAAATCAATAAATTTAAATATTGAATCTTTGGTTTTTGATTATTCAAAAAACATAAAGTGTGCGCTTGTTGACACTATTACAAGCAATTTGCCTAATGTAAGTTTTGATATTTCAGAGTTTGAAACGCCTCGGAATATTCATTTGTCTGATGACAGTTTTTACCGCTCGGGACCGATTGATTTTTTATTGGGTGCAAATGTGGCGTTTGAAATTTTTCTCTCGGAGAAGCTTAAATGCAACAATATATATTTTCAAAACACCCTATTCGGTTATATTGTAAGCGGTGCAATTTCTGCTTGTGCAAATGTCACATGCAATTTTTTTGCGTTTCACGCGACCTATTCAGATCTTGAAAAAACCATGTCTCAATTTTGGGAAACTGAGAAAGTCCCTGAGATATTTCCAGAATATCCCAGCGAGCAAGAAGCTTGCGAGTCTTGTTTTCAAAATTCTCTTGAAATAATAAATAACCAATATCAGGTGAAATTGCCACTAAAACAAACTGACATAAATTTGGGGGATTCATTTTCAGTGGCTATAAAGCGCTTTGAAAACCTGGAAAAAAGATTTAGAGTTAATCCTGATCTTTTCTCACAATATAAGAGTTTCATGGATGATTATTTGAATTTAAATTATGCCAAAATTGTCAATTACCCTGTAGAGGAGTTAACTAATGGTTCGATTTATTTCATGGCGCATCACCCCGTTATAAGGGAAGACAAAAAAACCACCAAACTCAGAGTTGTCTTTGATGGCAGCATGAAATCGAAACAAAAGAAATGTATAAATGACTTCTTGTACAATGGGGCAGTAGTCCAGAAAGACTTATTCGATATTCTTGTTTGCTTCAGAACTT